GGCAGCTTCCCAGTTTCAGTACTGGTCTGCTGATCACTGCCCTGCCTTTGGGTTTTCCTCAGACAGCCATGTAACACAAAGGCAAGCCTGGTAGTGGTGGCATACCACTACCTGTGAAGGAGAGGCAGGTTTGTCTCTGAGTTCAAGGATGGCCTGGTCTACAGAGTGAGTTCCAGGACAGCCAGGATTACACAGAGAAACCCTGGCTCAAAACCAAAAACAAAAAGACCAGGTCAGGCCAGGTTTAGTTGCACATGCCTTTAATCCCAGAGGAAGGCACTATCTCTACGAGTTTAAGGCCATCCTAGTCTATACAGTGAGTTCCAAGGCAACCAGAGATGTAGAGCCCTTGTCTCAAAAACAAAAAACAGACCAGGAAATTGGTGAGATGATTCAGTGAGTGAAGGTGTTTGCAGACAAGCTTGACAACTTCAGTTCATCCCCAAGGACTCACATGGTGGAAGGAGAGAACTGACTCCTGCAATTGTCCTCTGACCTGACCTCCATAAGTACCCTGCACAAATAATAAATGCCGTTTTTTTTTTTTTTTTTTTTAAATAGACAGAGTTTCTCTGTTAACAGCCCTGGTCATCCTGAAACTTACTTTATAGACCAGCCTGACCTCCAATTTACAGAGATCCACTTGCCTCTGCCTTCTGAATGCTGGGATTAAAGGCATGCACCACTACCACCACCTGGCTAGTAAATACTTTTAAAACATTAAAAGGGACTGTTAGTCTCAGGTAAACCAGAAAGCAGGTTAAGGGGCCAGAAAGAAGGTGGGCTGTTTGTTTATCAGGACTATAGACGCTTTGTTCTGGGTTATGCATCAACTTCATCACAGGAAGGTGAAGGAATGTGGGACCTCATAGAGATACTCAGAGGGGCCTTTACTATTGTTTTTCAGTTCCCACTCATTTATTCACCTGTATTCACTAACCTGGGTCCCCCATGGGTCAGCATCCACATCATGTCGTTGGTAGTAGTAAGCAGCACCTGCCACGTGGGCTGCGGTCTGGGCTAGAATCTTAGGGCGTCGGTTGGGGTGGACCTCATAGTCAGCAATGATTTTCATTTGCAGTTCTGGAAACTTCTGGGACAAAATAAGGAATTCCTGTTAGCATAATGGTAGTCATGACCTTGTTCTACAAAGGCCTAAGTTGTGTATTAACATGGTCCTGTTCTTTATAAGCTCACGGTTTGGTGTTTTGAGACAGGACCAGAATGACCTTGAACTGGCTATATATATAGCCAAAGAATATTGTGAATTCCTTTTTTTTTTTAAAGATTTATTCACCTGCAGGCCAGAAGAGGGCACCAGATCTCATTACAGATGGTTGTGAGCCACCACGTGGTTGCTGGGAATTGAACATAGCCCTAATCCTCTTGTTTCTACCTCCCTACTACTGGAAATCTCTATTAAAAGCTCTGTTTGAAGGGGAAACATAAGTTTAACCCAGGAAGCTGCTAAGTGAAGGAAATTAACGTTCCTTTGCCCTCTCAGAAAGGCCTATGCTTGAAGGGAAATACAAAAGACTTTGCTCAGAAGCCTCCATTATCAGGAATTATTGTGCCTTGAATTGCACAGTTATAGGGTGGGAAGACTCTAGAATTTATATGTACAAATTTATGTGGATATAAATGAATACAGGCTAGGAAATATTCTGTCTTCAGAGACTCCAAAGTCAGCTTAGAGTTTGTAATCCCAGATCAAAGAACAGTGAACAATACCTAAAAGATGTTGGTTTTACTCATATTGAAACTGGAGATTAAGATTAGCCTGAGGTTCATATAGCTGCCCATCGTGTAGTCACCCTACAAAACTAATTTCAGATGGGGAGTCTGCTAAAGAAAAGAGTAAAACCTGGTTCCTAGTCCTAAGTTTATACCCTACACTGAGCTTGATCAACAGGGAAGCAGATGTAGGTTGAAGTAAATTTGAGCCTTACCTCCGCAACACTTCTTAGGTGGTAGGACACACACTGATCTACGGGGTCTCTCAGTGGTTGGAGGTGGTAGCTCTTTAAGAAAGGTTTGAGGGCTTTGTCAAACATAGCAGGTGTGCTGAGTACCAGGAAGGCCAGAGTAGGTCCTGGGAAGGGCAAGTGGAAGGCTGGAGGCACCAGTTCATTGTACCATGCCACCTGGAACACAGAAAGTTCAGGTTTGGTTAGAGAGCAGCTTGGGCCTGAATTAAGTCCATACCTTGGCTTTGTATTCAAGGCTTCGTACATTTTGCACCCATGTCTATTTCATTCATTCACGGAACTTTGATTGATGATATGTAATATATGCATATTAACCTTATATGGGCAATCTATCTGCAATTGATGGATTTAGGATTGGAAAAAGTTTATAAACAAACCATAAATAGGAAGTGACAATTATGACCAGTCTTATGGCAGAACCAGATAAGTATCCTCTGACATTAGAAAAACACTGAAATCCAGTTCTGGGGGCTGGTAACTGAAGGTTAATATGGAGGATAGAGAATCTGCTGTTTGTTTGTTTATTCGTTTATTTGAGATAGGGTCTCACTATGTAGACTTGCCAGTAGAAATGCACTGAGCTCCTTGGGCTGTGATGGCACATATCTTTAATCCCAGCACTCGGGTGGGGAGTTGGAACAGAGGCAGGTGGATCTCTGAATTTGAGGTCTATAGAGTAAGTTCCAGGACAGCCAGGGCTACACAAAGAGATCTTGTCTTGAAAAACCAAAAAGAAAAAAAATAATAATAAAGAAAAAAAATGTACTAATAGCATTTGAGAAGAGCAGAGTATCTAGTCTGGTAGATGAGAACAGTAGAGAGAAAAGGCTTGAGAGATTAGTAGGAGTGAGGTTGTGCCTTGCCTTAAATATCAACTTAAAAACTATGACTCCAATTTGGTGAAAGTGAGGAGCCATTTAACTTAAAAAAGAAAAGTGACCTGTAGTTTAGAAAGATCTGGTTGCAGTGTAAGGTTGGACTGGAGCCAAGATGGCAGCAAGATTATAGTAATCCTAATGAGAGAAGTGTTATGGAATACAGAACAGGTTGTTGGGCTAAAAAACTATGAATTTGGGCTGGGCCTAGTGGCTCACACCTTTAATCCCAGCACTTGAGAGCCAGAGGCAGGCAGATCTCTATGAGTTTGAAGCCAGCCTGGTCTACAGAGCAAGTTCCAGGACAGACTCCAAAGCAATACAGAAAAACCCTGTCTCCAAAAACCAAAAAGAAAGAAAAAAAAAAAAAAAAAAAAAAAAAAAAAAAAAGAAAAAGAAAAAAAGAAAGAAAGAAAACTGAATTTGGGAGACTCAGGGTACATTCATGGTGGCTGTTGGATGCAGGACTGGGAAGGTGAGTAACAGGACCTTATAACAGGCAGAGAGAGCTACAACTAACTCTGTTCAGTATACTAGTTTCCATTACTTAGACCACACACACACACTTTTCAGACAGGGTCTCATTATATAGTCCTGGCTGACCATATGTAGACCATGTAGTATCAAAGCCTCTGCCTCCAGAGTGCTGGGGTCAAAATCTTTTGCCACTATGCCTGGCCCTCATGAAGGCACTCCTGCCATCCATCACTGCCTCCGAATTCTTACTCTAGGACATACATAATCCTCCCTCTTTTCACCAGTTGTTTTTCTGCTTTTGAGATTAAACCCACAGCCTTGCCAATGTTAAGCTAGTATGTTATCACTGAGTTATAATGTCAGCTCTCAGTTTCATTGTTTTTTCTCACTGCTGAGGACTGAACCTAAGATCTCAAGCATGGTGGTCAAGAGCTCTGTAGCTACATCCTCCAGAGGTTCAACATTTCATTTTTTTCCCCCTCCAGTAAATGCTTTCAAACTAGATTTAACTTACTTCTCTATAGTAACTCATTCTAAGTCTTACTGTGGGCAGCTCATTGGAATGGGTAGGAAATGGGAATTGTCTTAAGATAGGTTAAAGGCCTCAGGATGATTTTAGGTTAAGTTTGTGTCCTAAGCATATTATGTTCACTCAGTACTGTGGGAGGAAAATGTGGGAAAGGGCGGGGTCGGGTGTGGTGAAGAGGGCCGGTGGTTACAGAGACTTCTGTACCAGGCAAGCGTGAGGAATTTCTATGCTCAGTCCTGTATTGATGGCTAGCAACACCGTGAATTAGCCTTCTGTTGGCTGGTGGAACAAACTAGCCAATTGTGCCTTGTTCAACATTAGAAATACTCTTCTCTCTTCATCTGACCTAATACACAGATAGCCATGCCAACCTTCCAAACTTTGACCTCTATTAGTTCCTTTGGAAGCGTCGGGTGATTCCAGACCAACAGGGGAAAATTTCTCCTGTAAATGACGGAGATGAGGTTATATAGATTGTGGATTGTATCCAATCCATTTGTTTGACATCATAAAGAGGTAAACGGGCAAATATGGGGACTGTTTCTCAAACTTTTAAACAAAGCCCCATTTCACATTACGACCCAGATGTAGGAGCTTGGGTTGGATAAGAAGGGCTCACCGGGCCTCACACTTTTGGTACCCAGACCAATCATACAGCTGTCCCTAGGGCCACAGGGAGGACAAACCAACCTGGAAGGGGTAAACCTCGAAGCCAAAAGGACACAAGCTGTCCTCAATCTTCAACTTCAGTTCTGCGACAAGCGGCTCCATAACGCACGCTGGACACTGAGCTAGCTGGGAAATGGAGTCTCGTAGTTAAGTTGAGCTCGTACGCTTCAAGCCGGACTGAACTAAATTTCCCAGGAGGTAAAGGACCAGTAAGGGAGTCAGTTGACTCTGCACGATGCATCTTGGTACATGTAGTTCATTTGGTCCTCGGAGCCCAAACTTAACAGAGACTGTAAGACTCCATGTCCCGACAAGCTTCACGGGGGTGTGTGTATGAACGTACGGGGGCGCTTCCAGGGAAACGTATTTCCGCCCTCTATTGCCTGTTACCTCCGCAAGAAGCGGACTCATTTTCCCGGGTGGCGCTGCGGCACCGCTTTAAAGTCTCATTCTCTTCCTACCAGAGTTTGAACTCTTGGGCGGTAGTGTTGGCTGACATAGACTTGATGTGTAGATTGTGCTAGTGTCCTGGATTTGGAGAGGTTTCAACCAAGATTCAGTTCATTCTACCCTCACTTGATATCTGTGTTGTATAGTACTCTCCTTTCTCCCACTTCCCAAGAATTTCGTTCCCTAGTTCCAGATTCTCAGTTTTGCTGCCGTACTGTATTTGTAGCCTCAGTATACCATTCCCACTTTGCTCTTTCCATTCAACACTGTGTCCTGTACTGGGCTGTACTGCGGGTATCTCGGTGTGAGAGAGCAAGAGCAGTAAAAATCAGGGATATAGTCCCCAGTGCTCCAGGATGAATAGGAACCCTAGCTGGTCTGACCAGCTTCATGCAGTTCTCAATTCAACTGATGAAAATATGGCCCGGATTAAGGTGAGGCACAGGAACCTTCCCTCCCCATCTCCCCGGAATTCCCACTCCCCTATTGGGAGGCTAGGCTAGGGCGTAGGTCAAAGGACACTGGCTCACTGGCTTGTGAAACTGTTTTCTTTTGTAGCAGAGCTTGTATCCTCTTCGAGTTTCCTGTACAGGTAAGTATTGTCCTTTCTCCCAGCCGTTTCTCTTTTTAAGCCTTCTTTCTTCCATTGCCGGCCTGTGTCATCTACAATTCTGTACACATTCCAGCTACTTCCCTTCTGGAACTCTGATTTCCTACACAAACCCTGCTCTTTCTTGTCCCTTCCTTATTCCTTCAATAGGGAACCTGGCTGACACATCGCCACTTGCCTCCTGGCTTTCCCCTCAACACTTGCCTCCTCAGCCAGGGGTCCAAGCTCATCAGCCCTGGGCTCTAAAGACTCCCATTCTTGGAGAGAGACTGAGCTGCACTGAATCCCACAGCTCATGTTCTCTCTGGGATGAAGTTACTAAACTCCGATCCCAGCTTCAGGCTCAGGCCCAGGTGAGGTATTAGGTGTTTGTATGTGGTGGTAATGTGAGAGGATAATATTAGGAGTTGGGAAACGACTTAGAAACTAGTTTCTGGGTTTTCTCTACTTGGGTAGGTGACTGAGGCTCTAACACATGCTGTGCAGAGCCTGTTGAAGGATCGGGAGCAGCAGATAAACAAGATCAGTACTCTAGAAGGTATTGGAGCAATTCTTTTCTTCATTCATGTATAACATAACAGAGTTTTAAAATTAAGACCAGGGTCTGTGCATGCTGAGCTTTAGTGGTTGACCCATCTCTTTAGCCCCATACAATTTTATATATGTGCCCACAGTTTTGCTATGTAGCTTTTGTATGTACACTTGTTTTGATTTGCAAGTAGTGCCTGGGCTCGTATGTGAAACTCTTAGAACAGTTTGCCTTTACTTGTCCCACTGCAGCATCATTAAAATTGCTTCAGGAGGGCCCAAAAGGGAGAGCCCTTCTGGAACAACGCCTGGAAGGATTGAGAAAAGAATTGCAGGGCCTTCGGAACAAGGTTCAAGAGCTTGTCCAAACCCAAATGAAAACAAGACCAGGGAAGTTCAGTAGTACCAGTGGCTTTCACCAAGAGCTGCAGACTGAGTAAGTAATGGATAAGACTTAGTCTTTTTGTTTATTTATGTATTTAAGATTTATTTTCTGGTGTTGCACACCTTTAATTCTGGTGCTCAGGAGGCAGAGGCTAGCAGGGGTCTGAGTTTGAGACCAGCCTGTTCTGCATATTGAGTTGTAGACCAACCATGGCCACATAGTGAGACTTTGTCTCAGAAAACAATAAAGAACAAGAAAAAAAATTTTATGTGTGGGCTCCTTTAAACCCACCTTCACTCTCCACATCTGAGGTCATGCCCCTAAGATGCTGCTACCACCACAAATCCACTGGTGGAACAAGATGCCACTACATTTTATATGTATGAATGAATGTTTTACCTGCATGCATGTATGAGCACCACATGTATGCCTGATGAATCCCCTGGAATTGGAGTTAAAGATTGTTTTGAACCACCATGTGGATGTTGGAAATCAAGATTCTTTTTAAGGGCAACAAGTTCTCATAACCACTGAGCCATCTTCCTAGCTCTAAGGCTTCCTCTTTAGAGGCTTCTGAACCCTTGGTATACCAGAAGTTTGGTCTCCTTACTTTGTTTTTTTTTTTTTTTCTTTTTGTGATGTTGAATATTGCACCCTGGACCTGGTGCATGCTAGGTAGACAACCCTTAGTATTGAGCTGTAATCTCTAGCGACTTTGGGTTTGTTATTTGATTCTAGAATGACACTGCTGTCACTCATGCAGGCACCAACTTTTGTGGGAAGAGTCAGAGATTCTTCGGGAGGAACTGAAGTTGCTTCGAGACCAGCTGAGTAAGTAAAAGATTGAGAGAATTTCCTTGTCCTTTTTTTTTGTAATCTTCTTGTTCTTCCATAACTGGCCATACCTTTGCCTGTTTGAGCTATTGAAAAATCTGGAAAATCATCATCATCATCATTACTATTATTGAGGCTGGGTCTCTATATAGCCCTAGCTGTCCTGGAACTCACTATGTGGACCAGGCTGGCCTTGAACTCAGAGGAACCCACTGCTTCTGCCTCCCTAGTTCTGGGGTTAAAGGCATATGACACCATCCATGAGCAGGCAAATTATTATTGCTATTATTGTTACTATTATTTGTGTATTGTGTGATTTGTATGTTGTATGATGCTGGGTATCAAATGCAGAGCCTTGTACTTGCTAAGCATGTGCTTCACCACCAAGCTTCATCCCTAGCCTTTGGCAAAATATTTTATTTTGGTCTTTGTCTCTTATGGTGTGAATTTTGTGTCTCCCATCAGCTTGGAATCTTTCCAGTCACTGGACCAGAACATGTTTAAGTTTCTTCTGCCAGTCCAGTTATAAGGCAGTGAAGGAGTGAATTTGTAGAATTATCCCCTCATATTTGGTCCCATTTTCAGGCCAACATCAGGAGTTGCTGCTGGAACAGATGGCCGAGGGGCGCCGGGTTCAGGCCCGCAGCTGGAAGGTAGGAGGGGGTTAGACCAGTCTCCACATATTTCTTCATGGGGTCCCCATCCTTTTTGTCGGTCCTGCTCTATAGAAAGGCCTAGATCTCTTCTCCCACTTCCATCTCTCCCCAGCATCCTTCCCTATGCTGATCCCTCCAAAGCAGTTCTTCCTGCTCTCTTGGCTGTAAACATGAGTCACTGTCCTTGCCTGTATGAAGACACTCACCTGTTGAGGAGAGGAGAGTTGTGGGAGGGAGTTTTCCTTGTGATGGGAGAGATTTAGTTCTCCCTCTGCACCATGGTCTGGCAGACATTGGAACACCTACAGAGTGACCAGAAGGGCAAGGTTCAGACCTTGGAGATTACCAGGACAGAGGCCCCTGATGCCCAGAAGGAGGACCCTTACTTCCTCAGGTCAGAAGTTTTGTGTGCTTTGGCAGTAGAGGGGGTTCGTGTCTCAGAGATCAAAGTTCAGCTATTCTAAATTTGGTCAGGATTGGTTGGGGTAGTGGGTCTCAGTATCTGGGGTTTTATTCATAAGAACAGCATTGGACTTTCTAACCTAGGCTGTCCTTAAACTCCTGATCCTCCTGCTTCTACCTCCCAAGTGCAAATGTTACAAGAATATGTTACCAGGCGACTCAGTATTTATTTATTTATTTATTGATTGATTATTGAGATGAGTTGCACTGGGTAGCCCATATTGGCCTCAAACTCACCAACCTACTGTCTTTGCTTCCTGAGTATAGAATAATAGGTGTGTGCTATTACGCTCACCTGCATTACTAAATTTTTTCTTTTTTTGCTTTTTATTTATTCATTTAGTCTGCATATGTGTGGCCATGTATGTACCACAAAATGCATGTGGAGGTCAGAGGACCAGTAGGAATCAATTCTCATCTACCATGTGGGTTCTCAGGACCAACCTTAGATTGTTTGGCTCAATGGCAGGCATTTTATCAGCTGAGCCATCCTGCTGGCCCCAATGTTAGGCACCCGTCATGTGACTCAGTTGGGATATATCTTTATATGTTTGAATGATAATGGGGGGAGCAAGGTGGGAGTCTGGAATCCTGACCTCAGTCAGAAAGGAAGACAGTTTTATGCTGGAAGAGTGTCCTAGATCGATCACCACCTATGCCTCTGATTATTCTTTCTAGGAACTCTGTTCATGCTCAGCAATCTAAGCTGCCTCTGGCCACCATCTTCGCCATGTCTATTTCTTCATCTAGCTCTGAAGTCAGTCTTCCAGACTGTGACCATAGCTGGGAACTTTTAAAGAAACTAGATAGGGGTAAGGACAGTTCTGGGGGAGGCTGAATCTTAATGGTGCTTGAATGCAGCTGTCTGTCTGATCATTTGGCATTGTCTTTTTCTGTGTGAGTCCATCTACCCATGTTATATATCAGGGAGAGTTAAGCTACTTTATTGTTTATTATGAATTTAATGAAAGGCAAAATATATGATTTGAAGATAAATCAAAGTAGTTATTATTTAATATTTATTTAAAGGCCAGGTTTTCCTTTGTAGCTCAGGCTTGCCATGGGGCCCAGCCTGCTCTGAACTCAGAATCTTCCTGCCTCAAGTTCCTGAGTGCTAGCGTTACAGACATGTGCCACTCCATTCTTCACTAAGCCATTTCATTGCAGTTGGGGGACTGAAACAGGGAGACAGTGAGAAACCACATAGAATGGGCATATAGGCATCAGGCCTGTATGTTTTCCAGGGAGGTCCAGGGCCTAGTTTTATGCATATTACAATATTGCTAATGATTTGTTTTTCATTTTCCTTCCTCTTAGAACTCCAGAATACCATTTCTAACCTGGAACCCCGAAGCTCTCAGTGCTATGCCCGGAGTCTTGGGCAAGAGGATCTGTTCCATCAGGGCCCCAAGATCTTCCAGAGTGACTTGTAAGAACTTATAAGAAGAATGAGATGAGGCTTCCATCTGGGACAATCTCACCCCCTCTGGTATGTGCCCCTCTTACCGAGGCATCTCACTGTTCAGTCATTCCTGCTCCCCGAGCTAATTTAAAATAAAGTGGCGTAGCTCTCCCTGATGTGTTTTCTACAAATGTTCATATACATGGGATCTATTCACCTGTATAGTTCCTTGTTGTTACCTAACTGTTCCCTGTGACTTCTGCCTCTGAAATCTGACATTTATAGATATATCTTTTTGTTTGTTTGTTTTGATTTTTTGAGATAGTGTCTCTCTCTAAATAGCTCTGGCTGTCTTGGAATTCTATCTGTAGACCAGGATGGGTTTGAACTCATGGAGATCCACCTATCTCTGCCTCCAAAGTGTTGTGATTAAAGGTGTGCTCCACAGTTCACCTTTGTAAAAATTCATTAATTGGCTGGGTTGTGGTGCACGTCTTTAATCCCAGCACTCAGGAGGCACAAGCAGGCAGATCGTTGTGAGTTAAGGCCAGCCTGGGCTACAGAGTGAGTGCCAGGATAGATTCCAAACCTACCCAGAGAAACTCTGTCTCCAAAAAACCAACAAATAAATAAATACATAAATAAATAGTTAATTAATTTATTTATATGAATGTTTTATCTGCATATTTATCTGTTTGCCACATGTGTGCCTGATGCTTGTAGAGGTCAGGAAAGGGCATCAGATCCCCTGGACTTGTAGTTACAGCTGATTGTGAACCACCATGTGGGTGCTCTAAATTTAACCCTGGTCCTCTGCAAGAGCTATCAGTGCTCTTTTATTTTTATTTTTCAAGGGTTAGGGTTTCTCAGTAGCTATGGAGCCAGTCCTGGAACTTGAACTCACAGAGCTTGCCCTGCTTCTGACTCCTAATTATGGGATTAAAGGTGTGCACCATCACTGCCCAGACTGCCAGAGCTCTTAAGCACTGAGCCATCTCTTCAGCTTCTTATAGATTCTCAGGGGAATTTGGAAAGAAATAATTTCTCCTGTCTGATGAGCAGAATGGGTTAGGATATTGATCTGAGGCAGTATTGATAAGATTGCAGAGGAGACTGTGATATTCTGGTGGACACAAGATCTAAACAGTCACTTGGCATACTGCTTATTGAGGCTTATTCCAGAGTCCTTATTCTTAGCAGCAAACAAACAAAACAAAACAATCCCCTGCCCAAATCTTTATTATTTGTTTCCTTTTAGGTAGGATCTCTGCATATAGTCTTGGCTGTCCTGAAATTCGCTATGTAGACCAGGCCTTGAATTTGCAGAGATCCTATTGCCTAGGTCTCTCTAGTTCTGGGATTAAAGTTGTGCGCTGCCATACCTAGCCAAAAAGTACTTTTTGCTATAATTGTCATGAGGAAATAAAGAATCCCATTATTTAGATTCTACTATAAATTATTTCTTGCTGGGTAGTGGTGGCGCATGGCTTTAGTCCTAGCACTCGGGAGGCAGAGGCAGGCTGATCTCTGTGAGTTTGAGTTCAGCCTGGTCTACAAGAGCTAGTTCCAGCACAGGCTCCAAAGCAATACAGAGAAACCCTGTCTCAAAATACAAAAAAAAAAAAAAAAAAAAAAAAAAAAAAGTGCCACCAACCACCTGGCAAGGTATATCTTCTTAGGCATTGAAGGGCAGCTTCTCTTTTTCTGGACTTCGTGCTCTAGAGGTTTCAATATTTACTAAGGATCAGCAGCATTTTACAGAGAACACATGAGGCCTCTTCCAGTGGTAACTGTAGACAGAAGATAATGTCATCCATCCACCAACTAGGTCCTATGCATTTGCCCTGAAGTAAGATATGTATAGTCAGCTTATGGAAAGGTTCCAACACTTAGTTCAGGCTGGCAAGAGGAGAGCTATCTGAAATACAAACAATAAAAGGCCAAGGCAGTAAGACAGTAACTTTCAGTAATGGGATCTATATAAATCTCTGTCCCAACTAGTTGCCAATGTTATAGGGAGAGGGCCTTAGACATTGAGTAGCTACAGGGATGTCTTTCACATTCTTTCCCTCATTGTGTAAGAGTGTGTGTGTGTATATGTGTGTGTGAGATGCTCTGAGCATGTATATGTGATGGGCAGAGGTAGGGTCTCTTGATGGCTGTGGTGGTGCAAATCATTAATCCCAGCTCTTGGGAAGGGAAGTGGAGGCAGGTGGATCTCTGAGTTCAAGGCCAGCCTGATCTACATAGCAAGCTCTAGATCAGCCATGATTGTATTATGAGACCTTGCCAGAGAGAAAAGGAGGGGGAGAGGGAGAAAGGAATGGGGAGAAGGAGGAGAGTTTTTATTATTTTATTAAAATTTTTATTTCATGTGAGTGTTTTGCCTGCAGGTGTGTCTATATCAATGTGCTTGCTTGGTACCTGGTGCCTACAGAGGCCAGAGGAAGGAAGTGGATACTTTAGTAACCTATGGGTGCTGAAAATTGAGCCAGGATCCTGTAGAAAAGCTACTGAGCCATCTCTCCACCCTTGTTTTTATCTATTATTTATGTAGTGAAATAAGAACTTGAAGTTGTTTACTTCCACATGCCTTTGATCCCAATACTCGAGAGGCAGAGGCAGGAGGATCTCTGTGAGTTTGAGACCAGCCTGGTCTACAGAGCTAGTTCCAGGGCAGGCTCCAAAGCTACAGAGAAACCCTGTCTGGAAAAACCAAGGGGGAAAAAAAAAAAAAAAAAAGGAAAAAAGAAACAGCAAGAAATAGTGACTCTTAGGCTGGTTCAAAACTCTGTAGTTCAGACTGGCCACAGCTTGTTTCAGTCCTGCCTGAGCCCTTATTGCTGGGACAAGTGATACAGTGATATCATACTTGACTTCAGACCTAGTTTTATTTATTTATTTGTTTGTTTGTTGGTGTGTATATGACACAATCCTGAGTTGTCCAGGCTGGCTTCAAACTCTATAGCCAAAGATGGCCTTGTTCTCCCAGGTGTTGGAATTATAGGCATATGTCTGTGTGTGAATGAGTGTGTTCATTCGCACTCTAGTGCACACATTGGGATTAGTCTTGGACTCCCATCTTCAGTGGTGGGAGTGCTGGGATTACAGATTCTTCCTCATGCTTGCATGGCAAATGCTTATGTCCACTGTTATTTTTCCTCCCCCTTCTGTTTAATATTATTTATTTTGAAGCCAAGTATCAAGTGTCCCATGCTGGCCTAGACTCCATATGTAGCTGAGGATGACCCTGGATTCCTGGTATCCTGCCTCCATCTCCTGAAGACTGGGGTGATAGGAATGTGCCACCACACCTGGCCTTCATGTATGCTAGCACTCTGCTAACTGGACTTCATCCCTAGCCCCAAATTTTAAAATTTTGTTGTTTAGGTTGACTATTTTTCGTTTCCCCTGAGACAGGGTTTCTCTATATCCCTGGCTGTCTTGGAACACGATCTTTAGTCCAGGCTGGCCTTGAACTGAGAGATTTATAGGCCATCATTGCTGTGATGTTTAGACCCACTTTTAAAAAGCATCACCAAACCTCTCCTTGTCTTTCATTGGGCAGATAATTCACCCGGCGTGGTGGCATTTTAAAACTATTTGATACCAGTGGTATTTATCAACTGTATGCATCAAGCTCTATGAGAGACACTTGCAAGGGTGCCAAAACTTCCAACGGAAATGTTAAAGAACAGCGGAACAGTAACACATGAACTGCCACCAGGTGGCAGCACATGATTTACGACAGAATGATTCTGAACAGGCCAGGAAACTGGGCCCCAGTGATCTCCCTTCAGAGATTCTGTAAGCTACTAATAACTCTTCCTAAAACAATGCCCCGTTTTGGTTATGCTTCTGTTCAAGAATAAACCACACAGCATTAAAGCAAAATTATAATGTTATTACTCAAGCTCCATCCGCATTTAGCCTCTTCCAATTTTGTTTCCTACATTAAACTCATTGCCATCGGGACAATCTTTATTCTGTTGTCATGTCACACTCTACCATTGCCTTCTGCCCCAGTCATTCATATATATGTGGTTTTTCGAGACAGGGTTTCTCTGTATTGCTTTGGAGCCTGTCCTGAAACTCGCTCTGTGGATCTGGATGGTTTGAACTCACTGAGATATGCTTGCCTCTGCCTCGTGAGTGCTGGGACTAAAGGCCTATGCCACCACTGCCTGGCTAGTCCTATTTCAGTTATTTATGTCCCATATATTTGCCAAGAAATCTCTACTTCCAGGAAGAGGGAAGTCTTTAGATTTTTGAAGGGAGGCTCCTAAACCCAGGGAGTAAGGCCCATATTCCATTGTACCTATCTGCCCTTATTCTTCTATTGCAGTCTGCTCAGGTATAAGATTATAAACCCTTGCTGGGTGTTGGTGGCACACGCCGTTAGTCCCAGCACTCGGGAGGCAGAGGCAGGCGGATCTCTGTGAGTTCGAGACCAGCCTGGTCTACAGAGCAAGTTCCAGGACAGTCTTCAAAGCAATACAGAGAAACCCTGCCTCGAAAAACCAAAACAAACAAACAAACAAACCCCACAAACCCATTGAGATCCATGGGTGTGGAAAGTGTGATGAAATCTGTACCTGATGAAGTTAGATAAAATTAACCCCCACGAAGATCTTTCATAATTCTCCTTTTCAAGCCAGCTCGTGATACCCATCCTTTAAGCCTTCACCAAATCCAATCTCTTCCCTTGGCACTTTGTTTAGTTCTACTTGTTGCAATTTCTCAAGTTGCTAGGAATTATGTATTAATTTTAGCTTCTCATTATATTGCCATCTTGCAGGACACCTTATTCAAAAGCCGCGCCAGCCTAGGGCTTGTTCTGTTGGCTTAATTATCAATCGCTTCTGTTTGGGAGATTTTGATTGGTTTATCTTGTGTTTACTGTCCCGCCCTCTTAGAGAGTCTTTAGGTTTTATCCCAGGTGTATTCTTTGCAGTTGGGTTCTGCTTTTTCAACACACTGTCTCTTCTGTTTTTACCTAAACTCTCTTCCTATTGGTTCTC